AGGAGTCGCGACTAAAGGGCTTTGTGTATACCTCTTTCAATCATTTAGTGGTTGGTGCCGGACTTTTGTATCCTGGTCTCATTATAGTACTGCTTTATTATTATTGTTTTATTGTACCTTTTACTGACTTTGGCTATTTTCATTTTTTATACTTTCTTTGTAATTGATTATTTAATTAGAATAAAGTCTAATGATAATTTTATCATCAATTTGACTATCTAAGCAATCACTGTATCTCACTGTTTTTAGCGCCCTTATCTGGTGGGTTGTATCCACTTTTTTTGTCTAGAAATCTATATAGCTAAGTATATTTAAAAAAATAAATATATATATATATATATCTACTGATCCTCCTTTTTCCCTCTATTGATCACTTCTCACTTATTCTGCAAACAAAATCAACATTTATGGGCTATTCCCGAATTTAATCCAACCTCCATGACTGTGCTTTTAGAAGTGGTCATGGAGCAAGGAATCTGTAAGTGCAACTGCTTAAAAGGACACTCCAGGCACCCAGACCAATTCTGCCCATTGGAGTGGTCTGGATGCCAACTCCCACTACTCTTAACCCTGCAACTGTAATTATTGCAGTTTTTATAAACTGCAATAATTACCTTGCAGGGTTAACTCCACCTCTAGTGGCTGTCTACTAGACAGCCACTAGAGGGCACTTCTTGATTCATAGCAAAGATTTTCTTTGCTAGAGCATCGCTGGACGTCCTGACGCTGTTTGAGGACCTCCAGCGTCGCTCAATTCCCCATAGGAAAGCATTGAAAATCTTTTTCAACGCTTTCCTATGGAGAGACCTAATGCGCGTGCACGGCGCATGCGCATTAGGTTTCCTCAGCCGGCGGGCGGGATCAGTCTCGCCCACCGGCTGACGTGATTACTGGGAGGAGCGACGCCGACCCGAAACCACCACCAAGGGACATCGGCAGGGTCTCAGGTAAGTGACTTGAAGGGGTTTTCACCCCTTCAGCTACCTGGGATGGGAGGTGGGAGGGAGAGGGTACCTGCAGTGCCAGGAAAACAGATTGTTTCCCTGTCACTGGAGTTTTCCTTTAAAACACTGCCTATACAGAGATAAATGCACTTTTGGACCCTGCACCGAACTGCTAACAGATGTTTTGTGCAAAACTATTGTCTGTTTCCAGTGCTCACTGTGCGCTGGTGACAAATGTAATCAACGTCTTCACTTACAGGCAGCACTTGGAGCGTGCCTGCAAGTAGAAGCTTATAGGACTGTGTGCCTACAATAATGCGTGCACACCCCTTGTATATGCCACAATTAAGCCTTTCTTCCTTCCCTGTATTCCTTCCCAATGCAATGGGTAAAACCCCTGCTGACCCCCCTCATTATACACTAGGTCTGCCCACACTCCTTCTACACCCTCTGGCGAGTCCACACCCTCCTTCCCCATCTCTGATTGGTGCATTCGCAGCAATCGCCGTGGATGTGCACATCAATGATTCTCTCTCAGAAGCATTTGATTGGACCACAACATGGAGGACAATGACACGGCATTGATGCTAGAGGAGGATGCCAAGTAAGTTATATGGAATTTATGAATGTTATTCAGGGGGTTCTAGAAAAATATAAACACTAATGTATTTTAGGTCATTATTACAAGCTGGAGTAGCCCTTTAACTAAGATTATCTGAAGGAAAGTGACATATGTCATGGAAATATCTGATGATTATAAATAGTGTATTGTTAGTAGAAGATATTATACAGAAGAATCAAGGTTTTCACAATTAAGACAAACATCTCGATACAAAAGTAAAAAAAAAAAAAAAGAACAATGTCCTCATTAGAAAATTTAAAACATCCCAGTTGTCTAGGAAATTGAAGAATCTTCTGAGTAACTGCTTTAGAAAAGAATACTTAAAGTTATTCAGTGTTCAAACTATACAGAATAATATACTGATATTGTTAGCAAATAATATACTTGAAATTATGTGTAGCCACCTGGTCTGTGTACATACAATACATATACAACCTTCCCAACCTATGTGCTTAAGTTATATTTTTTTATTTTGCAGCCTCAACCAATTTTCTAGTGATCCATTATACACTCAGTTTCCACCTTGTCTCCTTTCTACCATACTGGACATTGTTTAGCAATACAGTTGACAGATGCCTTACTCCAGACCAGCGTCATATCTAATATAACTTTTTGGGGATTAATAATGATGCTTACATGCAATTGAATGTTTCACTTCTTTGGACATGTTTCCTCAGACCTATTAGTGTCACAAAGTTGTCTCATTTTGATATATATATGGCGCTAGATCGTGGGTCCTTGCGTTGTTAGAGACAAAAACAAACACACAAAAAATGCTGATGCTATTTTTTTTTTTTAAACAACAAATAAGTAAGACCTATTTATTGCTCCATTCCATATTCCATTTGCGAGAAGCAGGAGGAAGTTTATGGTCCATGAATCTTCAGTCTGTGCTGTCTTACTGCTATTTCTCAGACGGTTAAGCTGCAATAATTGATTTTTTTGTGAGGAGGGAGTGGCGTTTTCCTTTCTTCTTCTCTGCGTTGCATTTTAAATCGACGTGATGTCTCGTACCATGAAGCAGTGCAACAATCGCGCCTGACAAAACATCACTTCTCATTTCTCTACAAAGCTGTAAGGAGGGAAAATGTTACAAGTTTATTTTCTACTTGTAAAACCATTGCCGCTTCAGTTCACAGCTACGAGACGTGCCATGTACAAACTTATCCTGAGAGTTGAACGTAGACAAAAAAAGAAAAAAATATTTCTAATAATGACAGATCAGAATGATTTCATACTTGACTTGTATACTTTGGCAGAATTGTTAAAATTTTATTTGAGCCTAAATAATTTCCTGATAGGCTAAAGGGACACAGAAAACGATAAAATCTTTTGTCCAACCGTTTAGTTCCAGAAGATTTTATAGAGCTTAGCCGGTAAATAAATTGTTATGCACTACAGTTAGATTTCTGAATTTTATTACAACATAATACGCTTGTAATTCTTTATAGCTAATTGATCTTTGGACACTTTTGCTCCCGATTCCTCTTGTACAAGTCATCTTAAATGAATAGAGATGTGATGATCTCAACCACAGCTTCTGATTATATGTGACTGATGTCTACTATTCCACTATTTTAAAATTGACACTATAGTCACCAGAATAACTACAACTTATTGAATTTGTTCTGGTGAGTAGAATCATTACCTTCAGTCTTTTTGCTGTAAACACTGTCTTTTCAGAGAAAATGCAGTGTTTACATTACAGCCTAGTGGTAACTTAACTGACCACTCCTCAGATGGCTGTTAGAGATCCTTCCTGGGTCATGGCTGCCTAAAATGCATTAAAACATTCAGTGTTTCCTCCCTCTGCATGCAGACACTGAACTTTCCTCATAGAGATTCATTGATTCAATTCATCTCTATGAGGAGATGCTGATTGGCCAGGGCTGTGTTTGAATCATGCTGGCTCTGCCCCTGATCTGCCTCTTTATCAGTCTCAGCCAATCCTATGGAGAAGCACTGTGATTGAATATGGCTACCACTTCTGATGAAGTCAGCAGACTGCTTGCTTTTCTGAGACAAACAGTATGCAGAGTTACAGCTTCAGGCTTGAATACAGTATGATTTTTACTATATTTATGGAGGCATGAGGGGCCCAGGGGTGGTAGATGGTGGTTTTAACACTATAGGGTCAGGAAAACATGTTTGTGTTCCTGACCCTATAGTGATCATTTAAGGCTTAGATATAAAGGATCAAATTAATCCTATGTATGTACTGTAATCTCTGAATCTGTATTTTTCTTTAATATTTGGTCTGCAGACAAAATTATAATAATTCCATAACTACTGCCACTTCAGATTTTAAGAAAGAATAATCATGTTTAGTATGTTGATCTGGATTAGATTGAAATATTACATTTATTAGTAGTGAGATCTTGCTTTCAGCATGGGGGTAAAAATGTGGTTAAGGGATTTAATAAAATGTACACAAGTATTAGAAGAACATGTGTTTAAGGTATTTCACAAAGTAAAAAGAAGGCAAGCTAGTTTTCCAATTCCAGTGCAATACAAGTTTGCTAATGAATGAACAATCCCTTTGGACCCATACTAAGCATTCAGATGTCAGCATCAAAGCTAAGCAGCATAAGAAGTGTCTTAGAGGAATTAAAACAACAAATTACCTTATTGATTTGGTATGATGGAAGAAAGGCTGGCCCGAGTCATTTGAAATCTGGTGATAAGAGAAATAGTCAGTTCTGACATGCCCATTATCACACTTAAAAAAAAAGAAGCATTATTGTAAGTCATCCATTTTCTCAAGACATCTTGCATTTGAAACACTATAGTGAGACAAACGATTTAAAAAGAGAATAAACTGCACAGTGGTGATCTCAATGACTTTGATGCAATGGTCCCAAAACAGTTCTTTTCAAACATGACCTTGGCAAGGTCAATACTTGTCTTCTGAGAGAACTTTTTTTTCTCCATTTTAGTGTAAGCTTTTCCTCTGTAAAATATCTAAAGATATCGGCCTTGATTGCATTCCAAGTGATCACTTTTATCGTTTAATGGTTTAGATCAGTGGTAGTCAACCTTTTTCTACCTACCGCCCACTAATGCATCTTTCTTGATGGAAAAATTTCCTTACCGCCCACCAGTTTTCGCACAAGTGCAGAATATTTTTTAGAAAGGAGGGTGTTTTAAAAAAAATAAAAGTACGTACATTTATCTTTTTATTTCTACATAATGCATGTTTATAATGTTTTTAACTTTATAAATTTTAATTGGAAAACAATAAAGTAAATTGAAATTACCTTTACTAGTGATTAATGAGATCCTTGAGGCTGATGCTGCAAGACTAAATATTTGATATCTGGTTTGATTTTCGTAAGGAACAAACGAAGGTCTCCTATTTCGGTGATATTCAGACGACTTCTCTGTTTGCGCATAATATGATTTCTCATCTGTGCGTCAGCTCATCTCTTTTTTAACCTTCCTTATAGCAATGCCCAGTAGGAAGGCTTAGCTCGATAGCCCACTTACTATAGCCCACTATAACAGACAGGCACACATACATACACACACACACACACACATAAAAAGACACATACATACAAACAGACAGGCACACATACAGACACACACAGACAGGCACACATACAGACACACAGACAGGCACCCATACATACAAACATACAGAAAAACAGACAGGCACACACACAGACACACACACACAAGACACATACATACAGACACACACATCCATACAGACAGATACACATACATACAGACACACATACATACATACAAACAGACAGGCACACATACACACATACAGACAGACACAAGACACATACATACAAAGACAAGACACACATACATACACACACACACACATATATACAGATAGACACACACACACACGACATACTTACATAGACACACACAAGACATACATACATAGACACACACAAGACATACATACAAAGACACACACACACAAACACACACAAAATATTTTTGTCACTCCTGTTTCCTACCTTTAAGGTGCAGGACTTTCCCTGGGGTCCAGTGGTGGCTCAAGTGCATGGGAGTCAGAGTTCCCACTCTGACTCCCTGGTCTTCCTCCCGCGCGGCTCTCAGTTTTAGCTGGGAGGAGTGACGTGCAGTCACTTCCTCCCAGCGTGTGATGTAATAATAGGGGGCCCGGTCGCGCTGTTAAAGCGACCATCGCTGACCGGGCCCCCTCTCAATCCACATCCATCGGGTGGCCCTGACAGCATGGGCCACCAGATGGACCCCTTGGGTGGCGGCCCCGGCGGTTTGCCACGCGGGCTGGGGCCGAAAATGGTGACGGCGGTACCCGGTCGCACGGGTACCGCCGGCTTGCACCCGCCCACCCAATCTCTGAAATCCCTACCGCCCACCTGGAATCCTGAAACGCCCACTAGTGGGCGGTAGGGACCAGGTTGACGACCCATGGTTTAGATTGATTTAATGACATCAGTTAAAAACTTATCTCATAGGCGTGCTCACGGGGTGTGCCGGGTGTGCCTAGGCACACCCTAATCCCCGCGGCACATGATATGTGCCTCCCTCCGTGGGCAGGTGAGGGAGATCAAAGATCTCCCTCACCTAACCACAGGCAGGGAGGGAGGCAGTAGAGGACCTGGGGAGCTCTTGCCAGCAGCTCCGCCGGGTTCCTCTCGCGAGGTCGGAGCGTTGCCGCGGTTACCGTGGCAACGCTCAGATCTCGCGAGAGTGAACTCTAGCCCCCTATGGGGCTAGAGTTCACTTTCCACTGGACCACCAGGGATGGCAGCAGCACGGTCCCCCTTCCCTACACAAGGTAAGAAGGGAGAGGGGATATTAACTAACCGGCCCTCGCACCCCACACATTACACACAAACATACAGCACACACACATACATCACCCTTACACACACAGCACACACACACACACTAACAGCACCCTCACACTAAGAACACCCACACACACACTAACAGCACCCTCACACTAACAACACCCTTAAACATACAGCACCTTCCAACTAACAACACCCTTACACACACAGCACATTCACACTAACAACACCCTTACACACACACACAAACACACACTAACAGCACCCTCACACTAACAACACCCTTACACACACACACACACACTAACAGCACCCTCACACTAACAACACCCTTACACACACAGCACCCTCACAGTAACAACACCCTTACACACACACACTAACAGCACCCTCACACTAACAAAACCCTTACACACACAGCACCCTCATACTAACAACACCCTTACACACACACACTAACAGCACCCTCACACTATCAACACCCTTACACACACCACACCCTCACACATACATACACACAGCACACACTAACAGCACCCTTACACTCACAGCAACCTTACACATACACACACTAACAGCACCATTACACAGCACCCTCACACACACAGCACCCTTACACACACACATCACACACTAACATCACCCTTACACACACAGCACCCTTACACATACACACACTAACAGCACCCTTACACACAGCAACCTCACACACACAGCACCCTTGCAAACACAGCACCCTCACCCACACACACAAGCACACACTAACATCACTCTTACACACACAGCACCCTCACACACACACACTAACAGCACCCTTACACATACACACACAGCGCCTTCACACACAGAGCCCGCACACACACAAGTGCCTTCACACACAGCACCTACACACATCACCCTCACACACACACAGCAGTATGTGTGTGTGTGTGTGTATGTATGTATGTATGTATATATATATATATATATATATATATATATATATATATATACGCGGCGTATGTGTTTCTGCTTTAGGGTACACACCATTATACAATAGGCTGCGCACACCTATGACTTATCTGACGCCCAAAAATATCTGTTCACATATCAAATCTGAAACCTATGTATTAATTTGGAAATTAAAGCTTTGGCGATTCAATTGCATTTAATAGGTGCGATTTGCCTGTGAAATTGGCCTATCGCAATCGACAGCTAAATGCTATTGATAAATGCTTTTTCTGACTATTTGTCTGCTACAGGGGTATTGCTAGTTTCCAGAAACATTTGAGGCTTGAGCCCAAAAGAAAACTTGATGAACCCAACAGTAAGTTGGGGATATCCCATAACATACTCCTGTCTTGTTATGTTAGGCCACCTCCTCTCTACCCAGGAACAGATTGCAGCTGATGTTCTACAGGATCTCAATGAAAGCATACCTGGAAACAAGCACATACTGTACAACCAGGTATTCAATGTGATCCGTCTACTTAAACTAACTAATAGTGTGCAGCAAACTGTTCCCCAGCACCCCCTTGTAATGGTCACTTAAATTACTAATCTTCGTTGGTATAATAGATTGCTGCTTTGAGAAGAAAAGTTTAAAAATAAGGAAAATACATAAATATCCCTTACCTTCTCCATCACATCCAGGTCTTCAGCCCCCAAAGTCCCTCCAGCACCTCCTATGGCCCGCTTGCTGCACTAGCAGCCACAGAGCATATAGAGTTTAAGAAAAACGACATGGGGGTTAATATGACAACACAGGAGCATAAGAGATGATTTAAGGCCCCCTCTCCCCATCCCATGGTTCCACTAAACAGTCACTGTAATAAAAGACTTGTGACTGGGTACCTATTGCACAGCACTTGGTGTTTCCACCTGTAACGGACCGTTTCAGCACACGAGGGGTAAAAAACGTTTAGGTGATCATCCCCCTTTCCAGAGATGCAGGCACAGCTACTGCAAAACACCAATACGCCGAATAGGAAACCATACGAATGCTGTAAACAGCCGAATAGGAAAAACCATACAAATAGGTTTACACTCCTAGCAGTCGAACTGGAACAGCATACAATAAATCCCCCCAAAAACGAGACAAAGCTCTGTGTTGAGGGACAAGCAGTGAACAGACAAAGCTGTTGGTTTATTGTGCTTATGTACACATTCTTACACATTAGTACCACCCACAGGGTTTTGGAACACAACCAATAAACACACACAATACACTCAGACACTCCCACACAAATTCCTCCCCTCTGCATGTGATTCAATTACCTTACACAATGGGTAATGTAATTTAGCACAAGCAGAGAAATACAATTTTTCCACATTATTCATAACTTGAAAAGTATGCATCACATTCACATGAACCCTTACATTTTCAGAATCAGCATACTCCAAACACAAACATACGTTAAAATCATACAAATTGGTCCAGTGGTTCAAAAGATAGATCGTAGTCCTTTGTGAGCAAATGAAGCATGGCTTTTCTGCCCAAAACCAGTTCCACAGAGTCTTCTATCCTGGAGATAATTAGAAGTAATCCAATTATCTCCAAAGACAGAGGCAAAACTCCATTGAACACATGGCAGCAAAAAGACAGTAGAATACAATAAAATACACAAAGTTACATTTATGACATAAAATACAGACATGCAACATATGCTTAGGTCTAAGCGCACATTATTACTGAATGGCGCTCAGAGCACACACATACAGTTCAATTGCCATGGAGCCAAAGTCTTTCCCATAGTCTTTCATTATACGAATGGGCTCCATGGCATAGCTATCTGGGGTATCACTGCTCAAACAGGGCAAGTACCAAATGACCCGGCTTTCTTGTCTTTGCGGGGGAAAATCAAGCCTTTTAACATGGAGCCATAATCCCAAGGCAACAGGCGAGCAACCCGGCTTCTCCAATGCAATGTGGCGAGATTGGTCTTGTCACACCACCCAACGCTTCAAATTAAATAGGTTATAGACAAGTCAATGTCCACCCATAGACAAGTCCCCCTGTGCCACAACCCATAATTATCAGGTGGGGGCTTTATAAAATGAAAAGTGGTAGGGATATCCTAGTGCGGGGGTAGGCAACCTTTTAGCAGCACTGTGCCGATATAGGATGGTGATGTCCCGTAGTGTGCCGATCCTATTTTTTTTAAATTGAGGTGTTTATGCTGCCGAATTCTGCTTGTGTTATTTTTACTGTAATTGCTTTGTATCCTTGTATTTGTGCGTATATGAGCTATTATATTGGATATGTTCATTAGTAGTTTATGGTATCGTGTATGATACATATAAATGTGGGCTGTGTATGAGGGCTGCTTGTGGAATTGTGTGTGGATGGATATGTCACATTGTGTGTTTGGTAGTGTGTGGGGGCTGTTTGGGGTATTGCATGTGAGAGGCTGCATGTGGGGTTGTGTGCATGTATGTATATTGTTAGTGGTGTTGCGTTTGTGGGGATTGTGTGTTGAGTGTGTGTGTGGGCTGTTCATATTATTTGTATGAGGGGAGGGTTATTCTACATTTCTGTGTATATCTAGCAGTGTGGGTGGGTTCCCTGGGTTCCAGTGGGGACCAGGCTGGCCAGGCACAGGTCAAGGACAGGAGCTGCGATAGCTGTCGAGGCCTGCTCTACTACAGTGTGGATTCCCATTCACAAGTGCTGGGAGGAAGTGATCTGAGATCACTTCCTCTATGTGCTGCAATGCCTAAATTGAGGTTTGTCCTTCACCACCTCTTCGTATTTGCAGATATCTGAAGTTTTACTGGGACTCCTGATAGGCCAGAGTGCGTTTGGCTCTAGCAGCCTTGAGTGCCGTGCAAAGACACCTCAAGTGCCGTGCATGGCACTAGTGCCGTAGGTTGCTTACCCCTGTCCTAGTGTCTCCCCTGCCCCCACGGTTGAGGGCTATCAAATAACAACAGAGGGCAGACTTAGCATACCCCGATGGCCCCACCCATGATACAAATATCAAGATGCTAGGCCTTTATTACAGTGAACAGGCATTGCCTAGTCACTGTTTAGTGGACATGTTCCCACCCGTAGCACGAAGGGTAGGCGCATGAGGGAGTTTTAAGACTTCTACTAATATGGAGGTTATATTAACCCTCAAATGCTTTTCTTAAATTTATTTTACCATAACTAGAAGTATTTATCGTTGAAAAAAAAAAAAAAAGAAGAAGATAAATGGCTTAAGGAGCACATTTATGACTAGTTTTATGCCAAGCAGTTGACCCATTTATCATTAAATCCAGACAGAATTAGAAAATAAAAAGAAAAAAAAACATCCAAAAAAAGATCAATAGTTATCAACTGTTTTTAAATAAAATAATTAAATTAAGATCACAGTAATCGTACATAGTTATTCACTATAAAACATAAATAATCAGGAATTCAAAGCAACTGAAACTGTAACAGACTTAGAGAATTTGTCCTTTTTGATTATCCCTTTGAATTACTTTGAATTCACATTGATAATGTTATCTGTAATTGGGAGGACATATATATACTATATGTCTTCCTAATCGAACATGTTTTTTATGGAAAGCCTACTGGATATCTCAAGTTGGACTTTGGTAAGTTCCCCTTGGGTGCTTTTTGTATAGTCATATAGTATGTAGTTATTTGATACATGCCTGTGTATTTGACCATATTGCTTAGCGGAATATCATACTGTTTTATTTTAGATTTATATAAAACATTGGAAATTGGTGCTTTAGTATTTTTATATATTTTGGAATGATGGACTTGAGTTTTAGAATACAAGGTCAATTTTATTGTGAACTGGAGTTCAAATTACAGGCTAAAATTGCCACATTAAAAAAATTATACCAATTATGTTTCTAGTTTAGCTATTTAGGTATATATGTTGAAATTCACTTCTAATATATGACTATTCAAACTTTAATTAATAAAGCTGTAATAAGTTACAAATTCCCAATGGTGAATGGTTGCTTTTGTAGCTCTATACGTACAGTATCTCACAAAAGTGAGTACACCCCTTACATTTTTGAAAATATTTTATTATATCTTTTCATGTGACAACACTGAAGAAATAACACTCTGCTACAATGTAAAGTAGCAAGTGTATAGCCTGTATAACAGTGTAAATTTGCTGTCCCCTCAAAATAACTCAACACACAGCCATTAATGTCTAAACCGTTGGCAACAAAAGTGAGTATACCCCTAAGTGAAAACTGGGCCCAATTAGCCATTTTCCCTCCCCGTTGTCATGTGACTCGTTAGTGTTACAAGGTCTCAGGTGTGAATGGGGAGCAGGTGTGTTAAATTTGGTGTTATCACTCTCAAGGCACTTCTGGTAACATAACCACTACTAGCGCTTATGGTGCTTGGAACTTTCCTATAATGGCAACAAATCATATTGCCGAAGAACCTACCAGGTAATATCACATTAGCAAAGTTGGATTAACAGTTAAGTTGCATTTATTTATTTTTTTGCAATTTGACTATTTTAGCCAATAATCTTAAATTCCCTTTTCAGTCCCACACAATTCACAGCTTAGGGAATAAAACTATAACCATCATTGCTATATAATTCAATATTTGTGTGAATAGATATGCAATATAAGTGTGCGCATGATGTAAGCAGTGTGATAAATCTGTGGGCCTGCAACAAATCTCCCCGGACTATATTTTAAGCGTACAAAGGCGTGTTGTATCAGATTTAAGTTACTTGTAAACTGTTTGCTTTTTACAGTGATTGGTTAAATGCAGGTGAGGATGCAGACACAAAACTATTCTGCTAAGTAATATATGTTAGATTTTGTAACCAAGAAGTTGTATAAATGCCTCTATTCAGTGCTTGTATCGATTCTCCCTTGGAGGCTACAAGTGTATGTTGTGCATTAAACCACTCAAACAGACCCCTGCATTTTTTCTTTAATGTGTGTAGAGGAAAGAAAGTTACCAACGCTAAACAGAATAATTTCAGAACAAGAGATTCCAGGAGTTCAAATGAGTATGAGTGAGGATAAAGGGAGTCAGGTTATATTCTACATCAGATAAAATGTTAACTTGTATTTATTATTAATTCATGAACAATTTTATATTTATTGATCTGCAACACTGGACTACTCAGTAAAAGAACTTACAACTTCTGCATAAAAGATGAAATGATTATGTGACATTATAAGTAGCAACTCATACATTTTATTTGGTACAGGACAATCTATCAGAGTGGTTAATTTGTGTGCTATAACTTCCTTATAGGTTGATTCTCGTACCAGAGCTAGTGTTTACACAACTTACTGAATACCGATTTTCCTATATACTTTAATTGAGAAAAGGTTATTAGGCAAAGTAAACCCTTGCTTTTTTAAGTGATGTTGGTTTCCCGACTTATCTCCTATGAATGATGCATGCACTTTAGCTTCTACATGTTGGAGCAGCAACATCATTCATCATATAATTGTTTATTTATGTTACTGTAAACTAATCACTGTTTCTTATTACCAGTAAGTTTAATGCCCCGCATTCATTTGAATCCCGATCAAGTCATTTCAGCTAGCTTAATTAGCAGATTATATACCAAGAACATGCTGAAACATACTTTTATCAAAAAGAAAACATGTGAAAGCAGTCCTTTTGGTAATTGAACTGATTAAGACAGAAAGAATAGACAGGTGGAAACTATAATTGTGTCAATTAACATCTGAGCACAGAAGAAGTCATTATAAGGTGGTGCAGTTTCAGTTGAATTTGGGGAAACCACTTGAAGCATTCGTTGTGTTGAGCTATTTCAGTTGCTTGCTTGTTTGATTTGTTCATTGCAAACAGTTGAAAGTCTGTAAAAAAATAATTAAAAACCTGATTTTCAATGGGGGTTGAATATGTACACAGATGTACATAGATGTGTGGGGACATGGAGACAGAGACAGGAAGTGAAACTAGAAAGCAGACTGTTTGGGTCGTTGGAAGTCATGACATTAAATCAGTTCATTACAAAGTTTATTTGGTGACACCATCATTGCTTGAACAAATCTACATGGTGACAGAAGTAAGATCATTGACAAATCATTGCTCAAAATCTACGGCGCATAGAACCGCTTGTCTTTAATGATGACATTGCTAACGTTTGGCTGACGTTCAAGAGAGAATGAAAAGTGTACAGTAAAGCACGCCTTTTAGACAAATCAAGAAACGTGCAAGCTTTCACTATTCTCAATTTTTCTGGTTCACATGCACTAGATAAATATGAGTCATTTCACTTTCAAGAGGGTGAGGACAAAGAAAAATTTGATGAGATAGACATGCATTCAACATGATGGCCGTGTTGAGACAGCTGGCTAAAAAAATATTTTATATGTGATTTTAATGCACTAATAGAAGAACTAATATGTGACAGAATTGTTTGTGGCATTCACAATGAGGCAGTTCCTGCTCATTTATTAAGGGAAAATACTTGACACTAGATTTAGTCATAATGTTGTTTGAGCATTCTGAAAGGGCAAATAAGGAACTCAAAAGAGAGGCAGCAACTGTGGTGGTCAGCATGCTACTGGATGCAACAAGTGCCTGTATTTTAACTAAGTGTAACTCATGCAACAAATGGAATCACTTTGCGAACACCAAGATTCTTTCATTGTGAAAGTGTGGACCTAATTGCAAATAAAGGAGAACTATTCACCCCACTCTCAACAACCTGGAACAAGCCAGTTACCTGAGATGAGTGATTTCGTACTCCCATTACTGGTAAGCTTTCAGTTATGTATCACATTTGCCTGGATAGATCAGTGCATCCCACTGCGTGTAGCTGTAGTTAAGAAGGATGTCACAGTACTCATATGCAATGACTCCGTGCACCTTAATAATGTTCTCCTGAGGCATTATCACCCATTACAGACAGAGCAAGTGACCTTGTGAAGTGTGGATTCTGGCAAATCATTCTAGATGAGGGAGCACTAATTCTCACAACATTTATTACCTCTTTCAGAAGATACTTACAGATGCCATATGGGTTTCCCTCCATCAGCTCCTACATCGAGATGCTGACTGGTGTTGGACTGAACAACATGCTGCTGTGGATACACTCAAAACACATTTGACAAGTCCACCTGTCTTACAGTATTTTGATGTGCACAAGTCAGTGATATTGTTCTTCACGGTCTTGGTGCAGTCTGTCTTCAAGACGGCAAGCCTGTGGCATTTGCATCAAGAGCCTACACTGAGACTGAAGCACACTATTCACTATTTGAGAAAGCACTATTAGGACTAGTCTTTGCTTGCTTTAAATTCCATGAGTACATCTATGGTTGCCAACTGACTGTAGTGTCCCATGTACACCATTCTCAATTGGAAACTTAGCACATTACACCAGACCATTTAACGCTATGAGGGATGAATTGACAGTGGATGATGGATTCATTCTGTGTGATCAGAGATATGTAATCCTTCAGTCTCTCCAAAAATACTACTTGACAAAGCTGCATTAAGGTCATTCTATCATTCCGTCCATTAAATGAAGGGCATGCGAAACCATGTTCAGGCCCACTGTACAGTGACATTGAAAGATAAGTTTCTAGATGTGCTCCGTGCAAAGACAGGACCAGATAAAAGAACCTTTACAACTTAACCAAGTACCTGATGGACCATGGTCCATCACAGCAACTGACATATTTGAGTGGTCAGGCAAGAATTACCTGGTTTTGATTAATTACCTGGTGGGAGTTTGATGCTCCCCTGAACATTTCCAGTAACACGCTGATCAGGACACTCTCTACGAATGAGATTCCCCATCAGTTGACGACTGATAATGCAAAATCCTTTTCAAGTAGGGAATTCAAGTACTCTTCAGTGAAATTTTCAGCATATCTATTACCCTAGATTCAATGGTCTGGCAGGATGTGGTATCAGGTCATCCTAGAATCTCCTAGAGAAATGTGCATGTGATGGTTCTGACGTTCATTCTGCCCTACTCAACCTGCTCAACACACCATGGGATGGCAAGCCTGCTCCGGCACAATATTTACTGTCACAACACACTAGGACTCTGATCCCTATGGTCCCATCCCAGCTCCTGCTAAGAGTTGATACTGATGTCCAGGCTGCTTTTTTTTGACAAATCTTCCAGACATCTTTCACATCTGGAAGCTGGGCAACAGGTAAGGATGGAGGCAACTCGTAGGTTTAACAAACTGGCTACGGTTTATGGAAAAATCAATCAACCCAACAGCTATGTTATCTATTTCGATGGTGTTACAAACTGCCATTTGTAACTGTTATTTTATTTGACAAATTGCCCTGCTTCCCTGTGTTATGGAGAAGCCTAATTGCCAGCCTTCTGCCCCAGGACTATGGACCTAGTGTGTATGGCGATTTGACTGTGTTTGTGGGATCTGAGCGCTGTTTGGATATATTGAGCGCTTAAATCCAAGCCATCTGGGGATAGGTTGAATGTGGGGGGGGTTCTGTTCAGTATGATAGGAGTTATGTATTTTTGTGTATTTTTGCTGTTGTTGTGAATGTAGATATATTCTGTACCTGGAGATAGTTGGCTTACCACACCCAGTTAAGCCAATTATCTGCAGGATAGAGGACTCTGTGGAACTGGTTTGGGCTGGAAAGCCATGCTTCAGTTGGTCACAAAGGATTTCGACCTAACTTTTAAACCACTGGAGGGAATTGTCTGATTTTTTGATATGTTTGTATTTTAAGTGTGCTGAGTTTGAATATGCAATTTTTATTTTTTGGATGTATATTTTTAAAGTTACAGCATGTGTGTAAAAACTGTATTTTTCCTGCCTGTGATAATTATGTTAACCATTGTGTATCATAATTATATCACAGGCAGAGGGGAGGATTTTGTATGTAATTGCTGGGAATATTTTCTGTAATGTACTTGTGTTATTGGCTGTTCTGTAAAACCCTGTGGGTGGTCCTATGTAAGGAAAACCTGCATAAAAGAAAGCCCTTTGGTGCCAATTAAACAGAATGACTTGACCCTCTAACTTGCAGCCTCAACTCATGTTTGTAGGGGACAGCTATAATCACTACAGGGATTGCTATGCTCTTCATACTCCCTTGGCTACTGAGCTCTTGTAAGAGCTTTTGTTCCTGATCCTGCTTCGCTCTACAGAAGGAAGAGGTTCACCTACTGGAGCCTGGTCGTTGGTCCAGGGTGGATAGCAGACGGCGAGATCCTAGCCCAGCAGCGGCGGTTCATGGAGTCTGCAGTGCTTATATTGTCTACGGTGCTGATGGTCCTTTGGTGAGCGCTCGGAGCATCCTTTTCTACGGTCCAACTTCCACCCAGCCTGAAAGCAACTGTAACAGATGGTAAGACCTATGTAAGGAGCTGTCATCACCTCTTACAGGTACCTGAGTCATACTGTCCTACTACTGCTTCATCTGTGCTATGATCTTCCAGAACCCCAAGCATGGTTATCTGCTGCTGTGCTAAATGGCACTTCCAAAATATGGATGTAATACACCATACACCATACACCACAAAATAGTGACAGTTTCAGGCAAGAGGTTTCAAGCTTATGAGCCTCACTGTTTGTTAAGTGATTGAGAAGGGTGCGAAAAACGAATCCAAAGTTTAACGATTTTATCACAAATTTATTTTACACAGCATTTTGTGTTTTATGTTGCATGCTGTTACTGTTAATTGCAATGTTGCACTCCTCTTCGGTTTCATGTTATGTTATATATGTATGTTGCCTTTAAAAGGGGAAATATCTAGAATATGTGTGTGTTGCATATATACATAGATGTTTGGGGACATGGGGGCAGAGACAGTAGGAAAGGATAGTGGTAGTAAGGAGCAGACAATAAATCAGTTCACAATAAAGTTTATCTGGTGACTCCATCATTGCTTGTGACAATCTACAATTAGAAAGCCTTAAAATGAAACATTAAAATGCACAAATATGAATTTTTGCCAAGAACTAAGACAAAGTATAAACTTCCATAGTTCATGATGGTGTCATCAATTCTACAGTCCTAAAATGTATTCTAGCATTTCCAAAGTTCAACAGCAACTATTCAAGCTTAATTTCTAATTCATGCCATCTGGAGTGCCGTGGATGTCTGAATGTGCGCGCGGCTCTTGTCACGCATGAGCACTCGGCGGATGACGTCGGAAGAGGGAGGAGAGTCCCCAGCGTCGAGGGAGCCCAGCGCTGGAGAAAGGTAAGTGATTAACCCCTTAACCCCTCTTAAGCCCGGCGAGAGGTGGACCCAGAGGGTTTGTTTTCCTGGCACTATAGTGGTCCTTTAATGCAATGTTTCTGTGGTAAATATCTTGTGGTATAAGGGTAAACACTACCTTTTCTATTTTGCCTTCTAGAACACCTCTATGAGTGACAGCCACTGGAGGCTCTTCCTGGTGCGGTCCTGCAATCTTTCCAGGAACATGGTTCAAAGTCTTCACTGCATTGGGCTATTACATCTCTATGAGAAGATCCTGATTGGTACAGAATGGCTGTAGCATCCCAAGGTTTTCTTATGGGAAAGCATTGGATTAACTGAGATGATCATTACTGGGATGGAGCAGGATGGCCCAAATATCTAAATTGTTAGGAAAAAACTACCAATGAAAATACATGTTTGCATTTCACTGAAAGTTTGTACACGAGTTATCATATTGTTTCCCAGATATGAAAAACACAGAGAGCCTGAAAATTCCACCATCCAATCTGTTCTAATGTTATTTTCATCACTATTATTTCTCTTCTATTAAATATTTATATGTGCCTTACCTTCCTCTTTCCTTTCCCAGAAATAACGATTCAAAGTTCTGATACTTTGTAAATACACTTTGTTCCCTAAAGAGCTGGAGAAGCTGTGAAAAGATGTTTGAATGGCAATTTGCCTTCTCTTTTCCTCTAAGAGAAAGCTGTTCCCCTCCTATAACCTGCGGATCTGCAAGTCTCTGAACAGATTAATGCCACTTTGCCAATCTGAAGCGGGCAGCTGTCGTGATATTTAATGAGCGATTTATCTCAAACACTTAAATTCACTAATGCTTCATCTGACAAGGTGCCCTTTTATTAAACTGTGCTCTTCAAATGTACTTTTTTCTTTCTTGCTATCTGGCTAAATTGCATTACAAGATCCTTTCTTCTGTACAGTAGCTCCTTTATGTGATAAGATGATGAGAAATGTTCTTGTTAAAGTACTGATAGTGAGATTTGCATAAGGCACAAGGGGTAGTCAGAATTTTTAAACCATCATAAGACATAATGGCATTTTTACAGATAAAAATCAGTGATAAACTATAAAAAAAAATCTATATATATATGTGTGTGTGTGTATAGATATCTATTGATCTGTCTATAAAATATACATATATAAATATATATATATATATGTACTTTTTATTTTAATATATATATATATATTACACATAATATATATATATATATAAATATATATTTTTTTATATAATTGACCTCTATGTCAATAATATATATATATATATATATTATTATTTTTATCATTTGTGCCAAGTATTTTGGTCTGCAGTTAATGAGGTGTTACTATTTTAAGCACCTTTACAGAAGCGCAAGCTTTAATGAGATGAATGTACAAAATATGCCAGATTTGGTTTGCTCATGCATTCCAGTTGTGAAGATTTTAATTAATATACTCCTAGTGCAGAAGAAAATAAAATTTGATTTGATGAGCTGCACTGCAAAATTTTGTATATGCATTAGTCCTGAAAAAGAGCAGATCTGCTACAGTTTATAGTGATTTAAGGAACAGACATGTAATCACTTAAGCAAAAAGGAAGAGAGATATATAAAAATTGCAGCACTCAATAAATGTTAGATTTAATTTAAAGAGTTTATTATCAAAGTGCACAAGTACATTTTTTTTCAAGTGTGCAGAATTGTTGAAAACTCGAGAACATTTCCAAAGATCAACTCTTTTTATTTTATTCTTTATATCATTTAATTTATTGGCCCCAATAAAACAATCTGGAGTGTTTTGAACAAGAATCTGTTACAATTAATTTTATCTTAAAGCAGGATTTAACATTCGTATCCATGCTAGCCTTGAAGCTATGTCACATTTACTTCTACTCTAGGAAAGCTTTCTTTAAAAATCTTTTTTGATTTTTGCTTTATTCGTTAGAATGCATAGCAGTTAATTTAGTATAAGGACATGAAAAAATGGAAGTGTTAGAAGTGTTGGAAGTGTTTCTTTTACATTTTTTACTGATCAGAAATCACTGCATGCAAGAAACCATTTTGTCTCCCTAGG